GAGGGGGAGTGGATGAAGGCCTAAGCAAGAAAAAGGCAGGGAGCTATCCTTAACTTATTTTTAAAATACTTTTGGATCTTTGCCTCCCTCTCCTCCTCCCTTCTTTCCATCTACAATCCCCCGTTCCCTCCCACTCTTCCTTTCAATACCACCTCTCCTTCCTCTTTTCCCACTGAAGACCTTCCTTAGGAGCCTTTTGGAGATACCCCCAAAAAATATAGTTCTGAAGGTGCTGTGTTGACAGGAGATGACCTTGTGGGCTGAGATTGACATATAGTGGATAACATGGGGGATTTACAGTCTGGGAGACCTGAATTCAAATCCTGCCTCAGATACTTTTTAGCTATGTTACTTTAGCCAGTCATTCAACCTCTCTCAGTCTCAGTTACCTCATCTGCAAAATGAGAATAATGATAACATCTACCTCCCAGGATTGTAGGGGGGATCAAATGAAATAAGTCAAGAAGTCAATCAACAAGCATTTATTAAGAGTTTCCAGTGCCAGGCACTACACTAAACACTGGGAATGCAAAGAAAGTCAAAAGATAGTCTTCGCTCACAAGGACCTCACAGTTAAACAGGGAGACAATATGCAAACAACTATGTACAAACAAAATAAAGACACGATGAATTGACACTAATCTCAGGGGAAAGACACTGAGATAAAGGAGGACAGGGAAATAAATGTAATAGGCTTTGTAAACTTTGTTTTTCTGTATCTTTTGTTATCTATTTCTTTGTATATTAATTTAGCATTCGTTTTTTTTAATTTGACTTCTAAATTCTCTCCCTCCCCTACTCATTGAGAAGGCAAGCAATATGGTATAAATTATACATACGTAGTCAGGCCATATTCCCTCCCCCCTCAAAAAAAAAACAGAATAAAAAACAAGAAACATAAAGTGGAAAATATCTGCTTCAGTCTGCATTCAGAATTCAGCAATTCTCTCTCTGGAGGTGGATGCTTTTTTTTTTTTTTCATCACGGGACCTTTGGAATTGTCTTGGATTACTGTCTTGATTAGAGTAGCTAAGTCACATCCGAGCATCTTTGCTGTTACTGTGTACAATGTTCTCTTGGTTCTGCTCATTTCACTTTGCATCAGTTCATAAAAGTCTTCCTAGGACTTTGTAAACTTTAAAGTGCCATATACATCTTGGTTACTATTAATATTAAGCATGTGTAGCAACCATGATGTGAATTTGTTTAAGGACAGCCAACTGAAAAGACAACTTAATTGAGTGCTGTGGGAAGGAGGAAGGAAGGAGTTTGAACATGTATTGAGGACTGAATTTTTCCGAAGAAAATTTAGAATCAGAGAACCTGGTTTCACATCCTGCTTTCAAAACCTCTCACTCACTACCTGTGTGGACTTGGGTAAATGCTTTTACATCCCTGGACCTTAGTTTTCTAATCTACACTATGAAGTCATTGGATTAGTGGCCCTTCTACTTCTAAATCTGTGTTCCCATGATGGTCACTTCCGTTCAATGATGAGTTGGAGTAGGTGACTCTTAACATGCTTCTAGTTCTAAACATGTGCCTCAAATTTCTAGCACCTAGCTCTTGGACATAGAAAAGACTTCTAAATATGGAGTTTTTCACTTTCTTTTCTGACTTCGAGAAGTGGGGAGGGCTCAGGAAAGATGGCCTCTTTGGAAGTAATGGGAAAATATAATATCTACCAGTATCTGTGGTGGTGGTGGGGTGGGGGTAAGTTAGGTGTTCTCTGAGCTAAGCCCTGAGTTTAGGTCCCAGGTACTTTAGGGCTGACATTGAATACAGTACCTCAGGAATGTAGGCAGTGCAGGGTTAGTGCCGAATTTTACTGATGAGTCGCAGAGAGCTGAAAAGACCTGGGGAAATCTGTTAGTATCTAGGTGTCTCTTGCCCAAAAGTCCAGCCTCTCTTTGCTCTATCTTACATTGTTATGTGGCCAGGGATTCCAGGATCCGATTCAGCCATCTGATCCATTCCCTTCATTTTACAGATGAGGAAACTGAGGCCAGAAAAGGGAAAGTGATTGCTCAAGGTCAACTGAGGTGTTTGAGGAAAACCAGGCTTTCTCGGCGGCGGTGGCTTTGAAGTGGGGAAAGGGGAAGTAAAGGAGATAAGGGAGCTCTTAGCCTGGATGGGGTGTTTTCCAGACCTCCCTGATAGCTAAGGAGAGAGTAGAGAAGATAGAGGACAGGAACTCCCTCCTCATCTCTGCCTGCCAATAGGGGCTGCTTCTTGCGTTGCCTTGATGGGCCTAATTAAAGGAGAGTGAAGGAAAAACTAGAAACAAGAAAAGAGAGGAGTTGCAGGTGGGATGGGGGTAGAGGTGAAGGTCTTCCAAGAGTCCCTGCCCAACCATGCCCAGAAGGAAGCAGAATCCGGGGTTGGGTGCCCTGGGAGAAGTAGTCCAGAAGCGAAACACAGCAACTAACCAAGCTCAGATCAGAGGCTTTATTATCATCCTAAGATTATCCTGCGAGGACAGTAGAAAAAGAAGGGGGGGACGAAGATCCAGGTGGGGGGGAAGGGGAATCCTACCTCAAAATTCTGTGCATCATAACGCATCCAGCGTCCAGAGCCCCGCCTGAGGCAGGAGTCTGGAAGAGAAGTCAGAATGGTAAAGGGGAAAGGCAGAGGACGAGGGGGCAGAGATAGGAGAGGCCAGGATAACGTCGATGTAGGTTTGGATGCCCGAGTGCCTGCATTCCCTGGGCTGTGCACTAGGGAGGGAAGAAGTTTCAGAGTCAAATGGGCTCACTTTCCCCAGGAGGAATCCCCCCCAAGGCGGATAGGTAAACTCTCGGGGCTAAGTTCCGTCCTTTTCAGGTTCCCCACCTTTTCCAGGTGACTTCTCCAGGCGAGTGCGAACACACACACACACACACACACACACACACACACACACACACACACACACACACACACACTCTTTCCTAAGGGCCTGCAATTGATCAGAGACTGGGGCCCCTGAGGCGGGCGCGACATCACGCTCTCTGCTTGGCCAGGGGCCGAGCCGACCCCCTTCTCCCAGACTCTAGAAGTAAAGGATTTCTGCAACCCACTCCTCCTCTCCAGTGCAACGGAAGGAAAAGAGGCCAAGAGCTAGCAATCAACGCTCAGCCTAGCCTCGGGATGGGCTGCGGTCCGATGCAGTGACCACGCGCTCTGGAAGCAGAGAACTTGGGTTCCAATTTCACCTCTGACGTTTACTACTTAGAGGATCCCGGGCAAGTCCCTTGGGCCTCAGTTTCCCCCTTTGTAAAGTCTAGGAATGAAGGGGATGTTGGATCGTATGACCATCGAAGTTCCACGTGTCCCAGGTCAGGGACCATCATCTGGGGTTGGGGGGGGGGGATGGTGAATATAGGGAGCCCGGGGTAGGAGGGAGGCCCGAATCTCAGCCCCCTCCGCCCGTGGTACCGCTTTAAAATCCAGTCTAGTTTGTCATAGGCGGGCCCAGAGGCGCATGCGCACAGCCCCGACACCTTCTCCCTCCCTCTCTCCCTCCCTCTCCAGTCTTTTCCTTCGGCAAAACTTTTTTTTCCTTCCCTAAACATTTTCAGGGAACTCGGCGCAGAGAGAAGCCGGGAGAGAAAGCGCGAGAGACAGACGGGGGAAGAGAGAGAGAGAAAGAGAAAGAGAGAAAGAGAAAGAGAGAGAGAGAGAGAGAGAGAGAGAGAGAGGGAGAG